TGTGTGTGTGTGTGTGTGTGTGTGTGTGTGTGTGGGGTGGGGGGAGTCCTTGGGGACAATGAAAAGAAGAATTGGCATAACTTTCTTCTATTGAAATACTTAACAAGATAATGTATTATTTAACTGCTAATCATCAACTATTTCAATACAGGCAGCATCCCATACACACACCATTGACAATGGCAATTCAGCAACACAATTTTATTCTCACATGCTGTCTTTCTCCAGTGCAGAGAAACACTGAAGGAAGTAATTTATCTGAGAGTTCACTCCAGCAGCAAAGAAATCATGCTTTCAGCTACAGCAACCAGCAAAACCTACTCAACTCCAGACCCAAAACGTCAACTTTCCTGCTTTTCTGATGCTGCCTGGCCTGCTGTGCTCCTCCAGCTCTACACTGCGTTATCTCTGACTCCAGCATTGGCAGTTCGCACTATCTCGGAGAGGATTAACTTATGACATACTTTCTTCAACAACAGCCTCTCCCAAACCTATGATTCCACAACCTAAAAGGGGCAGCACGTGCAAGGAGGCATCACCTCTTCCCAGCTCTCCTTGTGATAGACATCATCTTAATGTGGACATGTACTGTCATTTCCCCGACATCACTAGGCTAAAATCCTGAAACTTCATTACAATATGTGGGTGCACCAGCACTACATGGACTGTAATGGTTCAAGGCAGCTCACAGGTCAAATACAGTGGGCAATAAAATGGTGGCCTTGACAGCAACCCTCACATCCTGCCAATAAATTTTAGCAAAACCTTCAGCAGCTTTCAAAACTGAACAAAAGAAAATTATGCATCCCTCTCAATTATGTTAGACTAACAGACATCAAGAGGATTCATGTTACAGGGATGATCATTAGCCATGGGCTAAATGGCTAGATAGCCTTGGAGAATCTAACTCTTAGTTAGAAAAACTCCATTTTTAAAAATTAAAACCTGCAATATGGAAAAAGAGGAGCTTCCATCACAGAAATACATTTATCAAGTTCATGTGACAGGTTTCCTGAATTTCCTTCACATTTGACGTAAAAATGCATTACGTGCACAATCAGGCACTTTAGCTTTATTGATCCCTAGAAAAAAGCTACATTAAATGCTTTCAACATGAGTTGCAATTAAACTTCAGGGATCTCATTTTGCATAAATGACAGTAATTTCTGCAGCCTACAAAAAGCAAGCTGTCAGTAGCTAAACATTAAAGGAATTAGTTTACCTATGTTAAAAGTGTGTAACTCCTATTATTCCTTTGCATTTTGAAACACTTCCTTTTTCAAAGTGAGCTTGTCAGACTGGCTAATGGCATAAAAATGGGGACAGTAGACAGACAGAGGTAGCGGTAAGTGATTTACTGAATGATTTCGATCGCAAGGACAGGTGTTAGATAAAACTGAACACGGATACATTGGTGGAAATTGAATTTTACAGTGAATGAATTGACAGACAGTCTTAGAAAAAGACCCTGGATAACGGCCTCATCAAATTCAATGACAAAACAATGGGACAAGGCAGCTGGAAATGCAAGTGGAAGGTCAAACAGATGACACACTTCCTGAGGCCATACTGCAGCTCTGACTACATTTGTAGTATTATCTTGAATTCTGGTCATCCCTTTAAAAAAATACGTACATGCACTGTCTCCAGAGCAGAGAACAGAAATGAAACTGATCTCCAAGTGTAAAGAGGCATATATTAGACTAAAAGGTACAGCATAATAAACAGGCCATTCAACAAGTACTGGTCTTTACACTTCACAAAAGACTCCTGCCTAAAATTCTTTTCTAACTTCTGCCTCAATGTAGCAAATCTGTGAGCATGAATTAAAATTAAAGCAATAAATTAAACATTGCTTTGGTCTAGGCTCTATCCTGCGACAAAAAGTTACTGTGACATTTGGCTTGAAGAGGAGGTAATTTGGAATTTATAACAGAACCTTACCAGACATGAATATGTACACAACCACTCATAGTTCAGAGGTGTTTGACTGTCAGCTGGCTGGTCAGGATCATAAGACTTAGTACCATCCATCACAAGATCTTGCTTTGTGGACCATGATCTGTATGTTCCTCCATCTATTATTGGGACAAGTGCACTGGGAATGACCGTTACACTGGAATGTGTGATCTTTACATACGAGGTACCCTTAAATGAAATAGTAAATACAATGCAATATCTTCCGATATCCAACACCAGGTTGGGCAGGAGCAGTCGAGGTCTCTTCAAGTCTACATTTGCAAGTTTAACTTCATTCACTTCTTGCAGACTCAGGCAGCTTGAGGTCTTGTAGATCTCCCATAAATATTCCACCTGATACTCCGTACATCCTCTGAGGTCAATATCTGCCTCCAAGTAGTTTCTCTGAGATCGTTGCATGGTCTCACTGAGGATCATGTTGACGTTGGGTGGATCACATTTTAACAACAGGATAGTCACGGTGGCCTGTGCAACATAGAAGCTGACCAGGTTGGATGCATTAACTTCTACCAGGTAATCTCCAGGGTGCAAATAAGAATGGGACATAACTGATGTGTTTGCAAAGTTAATTTGAGACCCATCTCCAAACTTCCACATGAAAGTTGCTTGGCTGAAACTGGGTGTCACAGCAAGACTCAAATGGACTGTTTCATTGACTGCAGTGATGGATGGCAACACTGTAAGCCTAGCCTTTAAAATCTGATTTTGTATCAGGATCTCTGCTGTAATGCCCTCCACAGATACATTGTTGAATGCTTTTAGGAAGATGTTTAATCGGCCTTGCACCTTTGGTGTGTATGAAACATTTTGCCCAGTGATAACATCAGAAAAGTCTCCCAACATAAACTGCCACTGGTACATAACCTGAAAGCCACTAGATACTGTAGCACTAAAGTTTTTCATTACACCTGTAGGGATGGCTTGCTCATCACAATTCACCAGCCTTAAATCTGCAACAGGTTCCTGCACGTGAATCTCAATGCTGGTGTGCTCGCAGCTCACTTGATTCTCTGCCTTCAAAGTTATTCTGTATGTTCCAAGGTGTGAAAAAAGGTATTTGTAGTTTGTGCTGTTTAGCAGTGTCGTAAAATTATCAACACATAACCAAAACCTGGCATCCGTCCCAGAGGACAACTTAACCGTAAAAATTACATCTTGGCCTGGCGCAACTGCCCACTTGGAGGCTTCGAGCTGAAGCCCTTGTATTTTGTCTTGGACTGTGAAGTTCAATGAAGCTGTTTCCCAGCTTACATCATTCGAGGCATTTAAATTGATGTCATATACACCAGGTAAAGGGAATGATTTATTTATTTGCTGGCCAAACTCTTGTTCTAGGGTGAATGGGAGAGTCCAGAGCCAAGAGACGTTGGTTCCACCAGATGTGCTCCCTTGGAAGAACACTGTTGTGTTAGTGGCTGCGTACTGCTGGTCGGCTGAAGAACCTACAGCAATCGTCACATCAGCCACTGGCTCCTGGACATGGATCAGCAGAGTTGCACTCTGAGAACTAAGCTTATTTGATACAGTGACGCTAACTTGCTTCACCCCTGGACTTTGGAAACTGTAACTGATAAAAGGGAGATGGGTGGAAACTGTGGCAATTCTGTCCAGTGCCCAACAGTAAGTCACCTCTGTACCACTGCCCATGATGAGGGTGATGTTGGTGGATGCATTCACTGCCACTGGTTCTGGAGACGCCCATAACGAAACAATTTCAACGGGCTCCAAGACTGTGACTGATCTGTTCACAGTTACGATCCCCAGAAGGTTGCTGGCCTGAAGGACAATCGCATAGGAGCCCGCTTCCAAGAAGTATATTTGAGAGGAGGTGGTGTTAGCAGACAGTATGACTAAGTCCGCCCGCAAAACAGTCCAGTTATAGGAGACCTCGGTGCCAAACCTGCTTTCTGCTTGGAACCACAGGGTTTGGTTGACGGCCAAGCAGCAGCCCTCAACCAGGTCACCCAAGCTGACTTCCAACCCTCGGATTTTTTCCAGCACATGGATCTGCATGCTGGCCTGCTCAGAGCTCACTCCGTTGTCCGCTAGTACCGTCACGTTAAAGACGCCAGCGCCGGTGAAAGTGTGCGAGATGCTGGCCGAGCCTTCAGAGGCCTCGCAGCAGCGGCAGAAAGACCAGGAGTACCGCACGAAGTCGCCCTCCTGGAGGGTGGCCTCGAAGCCCACGGAGGCGTTCACCGGAGCCACTGTGGCGTTGGCGGCGAGCTGCAGCCGCTGCAGCGGCGTTTTCACCGTGACCTGCTCCTCCTTCAGGCCGTGGCTGACGGCATTCGAGGCGGCCAGCCTGACTCGGAAGAGGCCGGCATCAGCGTACGAGTGCGAGACGTTGTCGCCGGTGCCGTTCGTGCCATCGCCGAAATCCCAGCTGTAGCGGACCTGAGTGCCGTTGCTCACCGCCAGGAAGGTGTACGGCCGGCGCACCACCAGGTCGGCCAGCGACTGAGCGCCGCGCACGATGATCTGGAGCACGGTGAGTGCATCCTGAACCTGCACCCAGGCACTAGCGTCACCCCGGGACACGTTGTTGAAGACGGTCACGTTGACCCAGTGCAAACCGGGCTCGGTAAAGCTCAGGTTCGCCTCCCTGCCACGAAGCTGCGGATCAAGCCCCGCGGCCAAATCCCACAGGTAAGTGTAATGGCCGTCGGGCTTGACGTCGACCCGCCACGTGGCTTCCTGGCGCGCGGCGAGGAAGCTTCTAGAAGGACTGACGGTCACGTGGCTGATGACGGGCTGCACGCAGACGTTGGAGTAGTAGTTGACCTGGTTGACGCTGCTGGACACCACCAGGTAGAGCGGGAAGTCCCCGCTCCTCGTATAGTTGTGGCTGGTGCTCGGCTCGCCCAGCACCGTCTGGTTTGGCGAGCCGTCCCCGAAGTCCCAGAAGAACACGTAGCCGGCCGAGTCGCCCGGCGTGTAGGCGGTGAAGTTGACGTCGAGCAGCTGGCGGACGCAACCTGCCGGCTTGACCCTGCAGACCTGCAGCACGAAGACCCGGACCACCCGGGTGGCGTTGGCGGCGCTGACCGCATTGCGGGCGGTCACCGCCACCGTGTAGTTGCCCACCTCGGAGTAGGTGTGGTTCATGACCGAGGAGCTGGTCGTGGTGGGCGCGCTGCCGTCCCCCATGTCGAAAATCCAGAGCAGCCGGCTGCCGGTCCTGACCGAGGCCTGCACGATGGTGGGCGCGGAGAGCTCGGTGGGGCTGTTGTCGGAGATGTGCAGCCCGGAGATCTCGTCGAGCACTTCCAACCAGCGGTAGGTGCTGATCATGCTGATCACGTTGCTAGCCTGCACGGTGACCTTGTACCTGCCCGCCTTGGCGAAGGTGTGCGTCACTCGGCGAAGGTCTCCGGCCAGTTCGGTGGAATTGTCCCCGAAGCTCCAGCTGTAGGTCACCCCGCGGGGGGAGGGCAGCAAGCTGGCCTCGAATTCCGCAAGCTTGCCCGTCGACAGGACCTCGCTGCTCACGTTAATGGACAAGTTGCTGAGGTAGCTGTAGACGGTCAACGGAATGAGCTGGCTGGCGTTATCGTACTTATCCGAGACCGACACCGTGAGGTTGTATTCACCTGTGGGGCAGCAGACAAGACACTCCGTTTTATTTCACGTTCGGCTGAAGTGATGGACTCCCCACCCATCCCCGTGCTCCCTGCTTCCCTCTTGCAGACACCAACCCGGAGCTCAGTTAGCACAGAAATTGCTGGAAAGGCTCAGCAAGTCTAGCAGCATCCGTGGACAGAAATCAGAGCCAATGTTTTGGGTCAGAACTGAGCACTATTCAGCCCAACGTGCTAACTTTTTTTTAGAAAAACAAAAGAACTGCGGA